TCTGTCCAGCATGGGAATCTCTGGTCCAAGGAGGACTTGTTGTACTCTTCATCTTATTATTCGTTTTTGTTTGCATCTTATTATTTGATGGTAGCAACATTCCCATGTTCTTCCTCTGAACCAACTTCATTTATATTTTGTGGGATGGTAAAATTGACTAAGCCCTCACTAGTAGTCTACACATTTTATTTGCATATTTCCATTCAAAGGTACTGTTGACCTCAATCAAATTATCTGCATGGTCCTTCCCAACCACATGGCAAGAAAGTCAAAGTCAATGTCAATGGCTAGAAAAGCCGCATTGAATAATCTGCTATAGTGCACATGGTGTCTGTTTTCCTCCTGTGTGTGACTCTATTTCTGTCCTTCCTCTCCCTTTATTAAATATTACTTGGAAAGGGAGTTCTTGTGGCCTAATAGGTAGGGAGTTGTCAACCCAAAGGAAGGTGGTTCGAATCCACCAGCTGCTCTGCAGGAGAAGAATGGGTCATTTTCACTTGTGCAATTTTACTGTCTCTGAAAACCCACTGGTGGGTCAATTGTGAGTTGATTCTGACTTTGCTGTTGTTGTTGTTGTTATGTGCCGTCGAGTCGCTTGCGACTCATAGTGACCCTATGTACGACAGCCCTAAACTCTGCTCTGCCCTGTGCCAATCACACTGTCTCTGACACTCCCATCCTGATTATCCCAGTCACTGACTCAATCCACCTCATAGAGGGTCTTCCCCTCCTGCACTGTCCCTCCACCCTCCCAAGCATGATGTCCCTCTCCAAGGACTGGTCTCTCCTCACAACATGTCCAAAGTATGTTAGACGGAGCCTCAGAATCCTTGCCTCCAAGGAGCCACCCAGTTTAACCCTCTCCAGGATGAATCTGTTTGTTTTCCTAGCAGTCCATGGTATTCTCAATACTCTTCTCCAGCACCACAGCTCAAAGGCATCAATTCTCCTTCTATCCTCCCTGGTCATTGTCCAACTCTCTGATGCATAACAAGTGATTGCGAAGACCATGGTCTGTATCAGACGCACCTTAGTCTCCAGGGAAACAGCATTGCTCTTCAGTGCTTTGGAGAGGTCCCTAACAGGAGACTTGCCCATGGCAATGCACCTTTTAATTTCCTGGCTGCTCGTGCCAAGACTGTTGACTACAGAGCCAAGCAAACTAAAGCTGTGTACAATCTCAATCTCTTCACCATCCATCCTGATGCTGCCAATTGGCCCAGTGGTGAGAATCTTTGTCTTCTTGACATTGAGCCTCAATCCATATTGTAGGCTGCAGTCCTTGACCCTCTGCAGCAAGTGCTTCAGTTCCTCCTCAGTTTCAGCAAGCAGGGTTGTGTTATCTGCATAACGCAGATTGTTGATAAATCGATTCTGACGTGGCTGTATATAAACATAGCAGTAAGTACTGTAAAGGGATTAGAATGAGACAGCACCTTACTCCAAGTACAACTTACCTAATAATATCTTTAAACTCTCCTATTTCTCCAAATAAAGCCACCGAGTCACAGATTTAGAGATTGAGACTTCAACCTACCTTCTCAGAGGACATAATTCGATCTAAGAGAACTTGTATGGAGTTCTCCAGAGGGGAGTCTTCTTCCACGTGGATCACTCCCATACCTTTGGTGACAGTTTGCACAAATGATTCCACTCCCGCACTCCTCCTTCCAAGCACCCAAGTGTCTTTTTCAGGTAAAGTTACAGACTTTCTCATCAAAGGAGTACAATCTGTCTCCCCACCTCATGAATCTAGGCAGAGTCCCTGGGTGGCACAAGCAGTGAATGTCTCAGCTGCTAACTGGGAGTTTGGAGGTTCAAATCCAGCCAGAGGAGCCTAGGAAGAAAGGCCTGGCCATCTACTTCTGGGAGAGGATGGCGGTGAAAATCCTGTGGAGTATGGTTATCTTCTGATACACAAGGGGCCCCGTGAGCCAGTATCAACTTGGAAGCGGCTGGCTTGGTTGCTTGAATTGACTCTGTTATTTACTTTAGCCAATAGAATGTGGTTGTAACCTGTTGCAGACCAAGGGTCCCAAAGAATAGAATGATTTTATAATAAAGAGACAAACAGCCAGGAATGAGGTAGAGCAGAGAGCATAAAACAGGGGGCCAACAGTTCTCGACTGAAGACCTTGAGCCATGCTTCTCTGAATATTTATATAGAATCACAAGGAAGTACAAAACAAAGGATAATGGTGAAATCTTTTACAGATAA